GATGATGATTAAAGCTAATAGAATGATTAATGGTGTAATGAAATTGTTTGCTAAGACACATCTAAGAAATATACAAACACAGTTTAACCTATTCAATTCAATTGTATATAATTCAGTGAGCTACGCATCACCATTTTGGTGTATGGCCAACTATCAGAAACTGGAGATTATCCAGAACAAATTTATTCGAAGATTGTTTTGCTTGGAATATAAAATTCCGGGGAGTGCTTTAAGGTTAGAAGTAAGCAGATACAGTCCCACTGCATTATTTATCAAGAGAACTATGATGCTGTTAATGAAGATAAGAGATAGTGGAGATATTTCATTCAATCTGCTACAACAGTTATATAAGTATTCTGTACAGAAGAATTCTAAAAGGAATTGGATAGCTCAAATTTCAAGAGTGATCAATAGTTATGGTTTCTCAATTGCTCCATTTATCTTTTCGCCGAATCTAAGTGAAGATTTGTGTAGTCAGCTAACGCATAGCATTTTAGATATTCTATTATCACGTGACATAGAAGACAACCGTTCACGTTTAAAACCAAACTGGTATGGTTCACTATTGAACTATCCAAATATTAATAATTATATTCTATCGAATCTACCTTTTGTTATAAAACGGTTTTTTATTCAAATACGTCTAAATTCAGAAATATTAATGTTAAATAATAAATTCTACTCGTATGCTGATAATTTATGTCCTAGATGTAATATGGAATTTTCAAAGTATCACTTGTTTTGCCAATGTGAAAAGAGCTATGAGTTAAAAAGGAAATTTGATTTGTTAAGTTTAAGTGAGTGCAGATCGGTGGAAGAAATGTACTATATTTTCCATAGAGCAACAACTCGATTAATAGTTAATTTATACAACTATGTTAAAACTTTTGTAAATAATTAGAAGGAAAATATTATTGTAATAATACTATGTAATATGATATATTATTTAAGTTTATGGTTCTCCCATTGTAACAGGCAATTGCCGTATTACAAATAAAGCGTAATTTGGATTGGATTGGATTGGATATAATTTTAATTTTTATTAAAAATATTTATTTGTACTTTATATGAATATTCATGTCAAAAATTAGTTGAAAATAGCTCAGAAACACTAATTTTCCATCAATAAAAGAGAATTGTAGGTGTGCAATATAATTTTTGTAGCTAATCAATCAATAAAAAATATTAAGATGAAATCTTAACTGTTTTCTGTAAAAAGTTGTTTATTTACTGTATTACTAAGTCAGGCAACAATTAATTATATTAGAGCTACAACTAGAATGCTCAAGACATGTATCCAAGAACATCAGGAAGACATACAAAATAATAGGTATACTATAGAACTGGCCAAAAGTTCTGGACCAAGCCTGAACATAAACTTTATTTTATTTTTCCCAAATAAGGATAAAATTTTATACTTTAATGACTCAATTTATCCTTATTTACTTTGAAACAGTTTTTTTGCCAAAATAATTATACAAAGTATTTGCATGATTTTATAATTATGCCAAAAGTAAAACACGGATTAATAGGTTTTGATCCCATCTCTGATCACTTTCATTACAATGAGTTTATCATTTATTTATTGTCTTAAACCAAACTTAACACTAAATTGACAGATTATTTTTCAGCTTACATTGAAAACAATTTTTAATTAATTAAATATCCAAATTTGTCCTAATGAGAGAGAAATGATTAAGCCTTATTTTTGTGTAAAGATTATGAAGATTATTATTGATGATATATTAAATGATTAACTTAATTAAAATTTTTTCTTTACAGCACAATGAAAGTAGTTGGGCTTTGCTCGTTTTAGGACTATTGATGTTTATTCCTGGTTTCTATCATGTTCGCATTGCCTATTATGCTTACTGTCGTTATCCTGGTTATTCTTTTGATGATATACCTGATTTTGATTAAACAGTTTACTTGTCTGCAATATTTAAACTCTGAATTCAACAGGTAATTGTTTTTATTTTGTTTTTAAAAAATTAGTAATAAAATTATTTTTATTTATTATTTTAAATAAATTTTTCAGATACTTTTTTTATCTTTTCTGTTCTTACCAAGCAAGTATTAAAGTTATTATTTGTAAATATCTGTATGAACACTCATGAGTTAATAATTTATTTATTATAAGAATTAAAATTATTATTAAAATTTTTTCTTTCTTTAGGAAAATTGAAAAATATTTTCGATAATTATCTGAATTGTTTTTAGCTAATTATCAAAAATATTAAATCAATTTTGTATTTTTTTTTTTTTTATTACTAAAACAATTAACTTTTTATAAATTTGAGTATAATGGAAGAAAAATTTATATTAAATGATCAAGAAGCAAAATACTATAGTTATTACTGTAAAATTTCATTTTGTATAAAGATTTTTATAAATTTACTGTCTTTGTTGTTTACTTATTATTTCTATTCAGTACAAAAATTAAATTTGTTATAACAATCATTTTAGGGACCAATACACACATTATGTGTAGTCAAATTGATTCTTTTACAGTATATTTTTGTATTTCAAGTAGATAATTATAAGGTCAATATCAAACTAATGATAGATTTTTCTGTTTCTTAACTAGAAATGATTATAATTAATGCTGTATTGCAGAATAAAATTTTACTTATTATTTGTGTATAGACGGAAAAATATATATATTGCATTAGGAAATCCTGATGTTCTAAATAAATTTACAAAAACACTTTGAAATATTGTTGAATTTAATTATACAATAAGATAACAGGATATGCTTATTATTCAATTTACATGAGCAAATCTGAAAAATCAATTTTGGCACAAAACTTGTCAAATCAGGAAAAAACAAAAAAAAAAAAATAATTATTAGCCACAAAGCATTAGCAGCATTCTAAAAATACAATTAAGCTTTTTTTATTATTATAAAAATTAACAATTTATTAATTTTCTTAAATTTTATATAAGGATAATTCAAAAAAAGTTAAATTTTTCTTAACTAGAAATGTTATTCTATAACTTTAGTCATTATCTACAAAAACTTTGATCAATCTTCATAAGTGTTTTCATTGATTTTACAATGAAAAGTTTTAAAATTTAATATAAATTAACTTTTAATAGAATTATCCTTACATTTTCTTGTTAATTCCGTATTCTAATAACAAATTAAAAGCAAAATTTTATTTAAGTATAAAACAGTTTAATTCTTATACTTTAAAAATTTAAAGAACTCTCATGACTATTTTAAAAATGAATTTAAGGAATATTACTTAGTTTAGATATTTGAAGTTCACCAAGTATGATATAAAAATTAGCAATATAAACAGATTATTTATATAACTTTTTAAAAATTATATAAATAATTATATATTTAGATTTTCTTGATTTGTTAATATGTTGTTTAGATATAAAATGATACAATATTGATTCCTGAAAATTAGATTTAATACTACATATATATTACAAATAAATCTGAAGTCTTCTATAATCTTTTAAATGAATTTTTGAGTAAAAAGTATGTACAATTTCTTTTTTAAATGAAAAAAAAGAATTAATAGTTAAACCAGATAAGTAGTCATACAATCTTTAGAAATATAAGTATAATCCAATGAAGATTAAAGCAGTTTGTATACATTGAAAAGCAGAAAATGTCTTATCATCATTATTTGATTCAGTCAGTGGTAGATTTAGAAATATGGCACCCCTAGGCACATAATATGCAGGCATCTCAAAACTAATAGTGCCACTTTTGCACTGAATGATTCTTTATTATTTTAATTCTGGAATAATTGTCCTTTCAATATTTAAAAATTGTAAAAATACAAGCAGCACTATTGTTATTGAAAATCAACATTAATACTACTAAGTTTGTGTAAAATATATTTATTTTAATATTAGTCAATCAATGTCTTATTCTGTTCCTACTTTAGCTTGTAATTTGCACTACTACTTTTATGAATTGTTCCTATGTACATTAAAATAACTTTTATTTTTTCATTATTTTGAATTTTTGTACCTCCAAATTCTTGCGCCATAGGCCCAGGCCTAGTGGGCCTAATGAGAAATCTCCCACTGCTCAAAGTAAAAATTAAATGCTAAATGTTTGAGTAGATACAATAGATCTTTGGTTCTTATGATTAGTTTTACATTTCTACAAAATTACTTTCAGTAATTAACATTTTAAGAATTAATGGCAGTATAAACAATTACAATTAATTAAATAGAAAAGACTATTCTTAACATAGTTTATATATTTAATTTCTTATACATATCATTGAACTGCACATGAATATTTGTATTTACATTCTGATTTTGACTTGATTCAAGATTCAAATAGCTAATTTACAGGGATTGATGCATTATCATTTTTGTTTCCCATAATTAACAAAGCTCTTTTCGTTGACTAGTATGTAAATTTGGTATGACATTAGTGATTAAGAAAATCAATATCTGCTTTAACACATTTTCCTGTAACTAGATCCAAGGCACTAACTTTGATTTCTGTATCACCAAAAGTCACCCTCATTTGAATTTCTCTTCTGTGAGGCATATTGGTTAAATATTTGCTGTCATTCAAATCTAAGACAAGAGTTCCACATCTCTGAACACCTGGATCTGTAATAAAATGCACGTCATCTCTCTCACTGCTGTAAATATGAATAACACTACAAGTCTGTCCTGCTTTGGCTGGAGTGTAACTGCGCGTAACAACATCACCAAGACCCACAGACTGGTCAGTCACCACAAATTTATCAAATATATCTGCACACCATTCTATACCATCTTTAACAATAAGTTTCTCTGGAGGATGAATTCCATGTATGAAACGATTAAGAACTCCAACTCCATATGTCATACGCAATCTTCTAACATTAACAATAGTTGGATCTAGGCCAAATATAACTGCTCCTCTTAGAATAGCTAAGCTCACTCCCTGGGGAATTATCACTTTGACAAAGGGAGAAAATGTATCTCTTACTTCTTTTTGTAAAATCTGAGATTCTGCAAATCCACCGACAAGGAAAAGGTAATTGATATTATTAACATCAGGACTGTTAAGTACATTAGCAATGTGTTCTTTAATATGTTCTAATGTAGGTTGAAAAAGTTGCATCATAGCAGGTGGTTCCACACGCAGCATCCCTTGCGAAGACCATTTTACATGTTTGTGATTATAACGTTTGATGGTATTTTCTACCTGTAAATATATTAAATTTCAAAATTAATTAAGATATCAAAATTATAAGTTTTATATGAAAAAATGCACGTCAAACTTTCAAAAATTTTATATTCTATTTGGTTTTGAGGAAAATGCAACTAATTATAAGATAATGGCAAAAGGTGTAAATGAACAAAAGAAATCTTATAATCCAATGATAATTCACTTATTCAAAACATTTAAATGTTACAAATTATGTCTAATGTTTGGATTATAAGAAAATGAGTGAATAATATTCCATACTCATAAAATCAGGCTTTGATCATCATCATAGTTTATTTATGCCAACATATGTAACTACAGAATAAGAGAACTTTTCTAGAGATAAAAAGCAGATATGAATGATATTTTCACATCTATTAATATATTTATATAATGAATGCACTTGTCTAGACCAACAAATCAACAAAAATTTACTTAAATGTTTTATCTACTGGCTTTTTTGTAAAGCCTCTTCCCAACTAAGAGTTTGATGTAAAATGGTTTCCTTAATATGATTATATTTATGAAAATTCAAGTTCAAATTCTGAACTCAAATTCAAACTTTGTATGTAAACATTAAACACTTCTCTTGAACAATCAATAAATTGTTTCTTACAGTTATATTTTAGGCAATTATTTGCCTGTATTATCTATTTTAAAAAGCCAACAGGAAATGTTTAAAAAATGTTATATTCATAATTAGCTAACATATTTTTTATAAATTAAGGATGTTTTTTTTTTCATTTAAAAACAAATACTGTATCTATATTTCCTTTGCATAATTTATGTAAAATGCTAAAATAATAATTGACCTTCAATCAGTTTTTATATTGTACAAACAAGTATTACTTTGTATAAATTAAAAGAAAAGGCTTTTAAGTATAATTTTTACATGCTATCATCATTCAAATGTATTTTCATTAAGATGGAAAAACTAATTTGCATAGAGATTGCTCATTAAAGTAGAATTAAATGAAACTACAGGTTCAACAGTGGCTACAAGTCTATTTTGTCTTGGGCCACACAGAGAATATTTTGACTACAAATTGAAAGAACATGCATTCAATGCAATGTTATCTTTAAATCCAGACTTAAGAGATGATTTCTCTCTCATAATGCTCCAAAAACAAATTATGCTAAGGCAGAATTGAGAAACTAAGACCAGAACAACTAACAGAAACAGAAATTAATATAGGTTCTGAATATGGAGAAAAATTAAAATTAATCAGTATGTTCCTCTCTATTCTGACAAAGTATCTCTAAATGCTAGGTAGCCACTTGTCACTTAACTTCCAAGCAAGCAAGCCAATGAATGACACATTTAATTTCATATTAAATGAACTGTGCCATTGGCTTGCTTGCTTAGCAGCTTGTCTTCTAGACTATCCTTTGTGACCACTACAAATTTTTAGATTTCATTGTTATTGGCAATCACTTAAAATTTCAAGATCATGTCCAACTGACTGCTGACAAAAAATAATCTGTTAATTGCAAAGTTGCTATTATTAAAAAGTGTATTCACTCACAGTGGTTCCTTTACATCTCTTGTAATAATCGATGAAAGAAAACGGTAATGAGATATTAAGCGGATTGGCTTTGAAAGGGCTCGCGTTTCTTTTCCTGGCTTCAAAAGCAATCATTAAATCAACAAATCCTGCAGGTCGTTTAGTCTTGAACTGATCTATGAAGTCGCTTCCGAAAATACTCCTCAGTAAATTTTCGAATTCCATATCTACTCCTACGGAACCATAGGGGCCACCCGTTGCCTTATGAAGTTCTCTTAAAGTACCCTGTTTATCAAGTAATTCGTGAACTGTAATATCAACGGTTCCTCCTCCACAATCGACCACCATGTACTTTGTACCTGAAAAATAATTTTATATTTCAAATGAATAAAAATTTACTTTAAGAAGTGAAAATATTCTAAAATTTAATTATTTTTTTATTATTCTTTGAATTAGATATTATTATATCATATTTTGAGATTAAACACATTAAGAAATTGCCGTATTTTCGTACATATAATTTGCAGTAGCATTTAACCTTCAGAAAATTGATAAAACCTTTGTATAACCCTCTCCATTGTATACCCCTCGCGTATGGACCAACGACTGCTCCATAGGCACGAGTTGGTAATTAAAATCAACAGATTCCGCATCAGCATCCCATTGCACAACCCTCATCCCCTTTCAACTTGTCTTGCACAGCAGACTGCCAGATGTCTGAAGCAATTAAGGCATCAAGTTTATTGCTCTGGGAAATTGGAATCGAGTCCGGAAAAGCAAGTCCAGGAATTTTTCATAGGCAATGTCGAACTTAATCTTTCACCACTTGGCTACACCCATTGTGATCCCGGCCGATGATTAATGATGACTATTCTTTGATAAGATTATTTGTAATAAGTTTACCTTTGTTGTTCAGCTTAGTTAATTCTTGACCAATCTCTTTTGATTGAGTCCCATCGTTGGCACATTGACGTTGGTTATAAGGAATTTCTGGCACCAGTTGATGCATTCGCATTCGACGACAATATATAGATGCAGCCTCCGGTTCTAATGCTATTAATAGTTGATCCGGATATTCGGAAGTAGCAATACCTGCCTGTAAATATTGAACACTTTGAAATTAGAAAATAATTATTTATCGTCCGTTCTTATTAATTTGTCATCACGATAAGTTGTATTCGTTTCTCTTACAATACAATTAAAATTTAAGAGTTTACAAAGCAATTTGAAAAAGATAATATAGGAATACAACGTACTTCGTATGCAGCAGCTCTCATGAATTGTTTGGCTGGTTGTCTCCAAATTGCTGGAACGGTGACGACCCAACGAACATCATCATTAGTTATTCTTGTGGCAGATTGATCACTGAGTTCTTGAAGAGCGTGTTCTCTGAAGTACCTGAGTGCATGAGCAAAAACAGTCACCGCTGCAAGAGCTTTTCCATTCGATGCTTTTATTTCGGTATCTAAAGTTAAATGCTGAAAGAATTGAATTTTTATTTAAATATATTTAAAGAATAAAAATATTTTCTTACAAAAAAAAAGTGTTATAAAATCTTGAGAATAATTTTGAACTGAAATTGAAAAAATAATGAAATTAAAGTGGGAACCTGCCACTCAGGGAGATCTGCCATTGGAATCCAGACGTGTCGATAAACCCCCGGAATTTACAGAGGGTGATCCGTCCGGATATGTAGCGCCCATCTTTTACCATTCCTGCCCTATTGTGGGCCTGACCGAACTGATAATGGATGTGCTTAAAAGGCCCTTTTAGTGCTCACAAGGTGGAAAGAGTTTAAAAAAAACCGTTTCTAGTAGCAAGTTCTGAAATAAGGATAAATGATGATGATCATCCTTGTGTGTTGCTCTGAAAATATCATATTTTGCAGTGAATCTAAACTAAAAGTATATATTATTTTGAATTAAACTCAAAAGAGACAAGTTCCTTCAAATGTATCCTTAATCGTTTTGACTTTAAATATAAAAAAAAGACGTTAAATTACACACAAATAACAAACAATGCTGGTTTACAAGAAGCCATTCAACTTGTTAATGTCGTGATGAGAAAAAAAATCCAAATGATCTCACCTTATCATAAGAACAATTTTGATAGGAAAAAAAATCAACGAAAGAAGGATTCAATGCCGAGTTATACTTTTAATGGCATCTATTAGGAAGGTGCTATATCGAGATTTGACTGTATAACGATTATTAATATTCAAAATATAAATTAATCCGTAAAACTTACTTCATTATGGTGTAAAGCCATCTTAAATTTTTCGAAATACAGCCATTTTTTCGCTTCCTGTGGATCCAAATCATGATAATAATCTCGTGCAGAATACCCAAATGAATGAAATTTCTTGTCTGGCGTTAATAATAAAGTCGTAGGAGTTTTTTGATTTATAACTCCAGGATCACCTCCTAGTTTAATAATAATAACTTATTAAAATTAATTGAAATCACTGAATTAACGAAGTTCACTGGGATGCTAAATTGATAAATTCTACAAACCTTCCCATTTCTTCATCATGTGAATATTATCAGGATCACGTACAAAGCTAAATGCATAACCGCTGTATGTGGTGCCAAAATCAATGGCCACAACTACGAAATGTCCAGGGTGATGGGAACTGTTGCCCGAATCTACAGAACATGGACTTGTCCTCTGAACGATAGAAGTTTCAGTCTTATCTTCCAATTTATTATTCTTTTCTTTCTTTCCATTTACTTCTATTTGCTTCTTAGGAACTAAATAATAATATTTTAATTAAAATTAATTTTTTTTTAAGAATCAAGTCATTCATCTGACGATCAACTAATGTTTAATGGTTTTATCCACTTCGGACAATAGTATAATAAGATGTAACATCATAGAAATTTTTGTCAACACTCTTTGCTTATAGCCTAATTTACTTTTTTTGTTAATAATCATTGATATTTTTATACATGTTAAGTTTGTAATGGTAGAAAACTTTATAAGACACTACAAAAACTATATTGTGAAAGTTATATTTTCATTCCAAAGAGCCCATTAACCTGAGATCTTCAAAGATGCCCCATTGCACTACATCGCCTGCACCAAGAAGAGTGATAGTAATGGATTTCTGATAACTGAGGATTATTTAAAATTATATATATATATAATTTTATACAATTTAAAATATAATTAAATAGAAAACAATATTAATCTTTTACGTATGAAAAACTTATTAACTTTCTTGTATTTAAGAATGGTTAACGCACTTTGATTTTTAGGAGTAGGAGCCATTTCTATTCGATTCCTTCCAATAGTGTACTATCCAGTGTTAGATTTGCAAATGATTTGTTCATCCGATTTTTTCGCAGGAATAGGAAAGAAATCGTCGTTCTTGTGCATTGACACAGAAAACCGGCCTTTCCCGCATTAGTGCTAATTCAAGCGGTCAAGCAGTTCTGGCTGGCTGATTTGATGACAGATAATAATACATAAGAGGTTTCGTGTGGCATTTTGAAAGTTTTCTTGCCAAACGATGCGGGTTGAATGTCTCTTTGGTCCGGTCTTTCACTTCTTTATGGAAAAAAGAATTGCATACAATATTCTTCGGTCACTCCAAATGAAAAAAAAAAAGCGATGCATTATGAGATTTAACCATATGACAATTTACATTATTATAATGCACCATAGTTTCTTAGATTCCAAATTAAGAATGGAAGAAATTTAAACAAGAAAGTTTTCTTAGATACAATCAATTATTTTCTTTTCTACTTCCATTATATTCTACTTTACGAAAATATTTACCATTAAAGATAAAATCCTACGTAATTACTTAAATTTTATTTTATTTGTCTTTAGATACATTTTAAATCACGCTTATCCATTTTAATGGGTGAAAGGATGGAGAAAAATGGGTGCAATTTATAATTAACAATAAAAAAAATAGTGTTAGATAATTAACAATGTATATATATATATATATAATTTCTTTCATTAGTAATTACTAAACAAGTAAAAGTAAAAACAATGTTTTAATGGAGGAAAAGTGAATATTAAAAGAAAAACCACAAAAATGGAGTTTCATACTTTCCGAATCTTTCAGAAAAGATTTAAAATATATGCTCTCCACCTTCAAATTAACAGTGTCTTGCCCCTGTACATCATACTTTTCCTGTAGTAATCGAGTCGTGTCCTGTCATCTATCTAACTCCTTTCAGGGGGAAATTTTTGAATTGAAATAACGTGACTTCTGGTCTGTATCAGAAGTTTTCATATAGTTAATCGGAGTCTCCTGCCCATAAGATTTCCAAATATGATCTTGGATTTCATCTAACTCTTTTCTCGAGATTAAGGAACGACTGACAGACAGTAGGAATTTATGGGTCTATGATTTTTTTCAAATTGCAGTCCAATAATGCGTATTGCATGACTTCAATTAATTAAGAGTAAGTTAACTAAAATAATTGAATAACTTTCTCCGAAAAACAACAAGAGGCACGTGACTTAAATCTCCCAAATTTGCCTCGAGCATCATTCATAATCTCAAAATCCTGGCTACTCTACTGGAGTTTTTGTGCATTTTTTAATATTTAGCTTTCTATTGCAAATGAGCCGAGAGGATATTCACACGAACACTGCTACTTAGTCGTGGATTCGAGCCTGACCAACGGGTTGCTCACATGGAATTTTTTGGGTTTAGTTCATCTAAACAGGGGTCAGTTTCTCGTAGTAAATCCTCTCGTGAGACACTACCTCCTTGTCAGATCGCTCATGAATTACGTTACCTTATTCAATAAAATCCAATCCATTGCAAATACGGTATATATTTTTCTTGTCGTTTTATGCTTACAACTACTGAATTTCCGGGTTTTAATCCTTCCTGTACCTAAGCTAAACTTTTTCTTGTAAGCTATTGTTAGAATCCGGAATTTTAATCCTTAAAATCACGGACTCTAACAGTACCTTATAAGAACCATCGTCGTTACCTAATAGTAAAAAAGTAATAAAATTTCTAATCGTTCTAATATAGTATTTAGAAAGAATAGAATAACCTGCTTAACAGCTTTTCTAAATAACAGATAGTCTCTTAACATACTATACTACTGTATCCTGCTTATTATTAACGTATTCGCTTTATTTTCATATCCTATCTACACTTTTATCTTTTAACCAATTTCTGGCTCTATTTAGTCATAGATTCTTGCACACAAAATAAGTAACTAAACGTATTTCTAGTATGAAGAATCAATAATTATAGTTCATAAATGCCATAAGAAGGGGAAATATTCGAAAATTCTTCATCGAAATTCCTTTATTTCGATTAAAATTACTCTTAGAATACCTTTAAAGAATAATATATAAACGATAACTTACGCAACTCTGCTAACAACATTCTTCTTTACATTACTTATACTGGTTTCTTTCGTAAATGAAAATGGGTTAAAAATATGGATCAAAATACTGGTTTTTCTAATTTAAAAACCTTTGACGTCATTTTCCGGATTAAAGAAATACAGTCGACCCCCATAACACTGTTGATAATTTCGTTTTATATGAATTCCATGTTGTACGAGTCACTTAGATTTTACAANAAATATATTTAAAGAATAAAAATATTTTCTTACAAAAAAAAAAGTGTTATAAAATCTTGAGAATAATTTTGAACTGAAATTGAAAAAATAATGAAATTAAAGTGGGAACCTGCCACTCAGGGAGATCTGCCATTGGAATCCAGACGTGTCGATAAACCCCCGGAATTTACAGAGGGTGATCCGTCCGGATATGTAGCGCCCATCTTTTACCATTCCTGCCCTATTGTGGGCCTGACCGAACTGATAATGGATGTGCTTAAAAGGCCCTTTTAGTGCTCACAAGGTGGAAAGAGTTTAAAAAAAACCGTTTCTAGTAGCAAGTTCTGAAATAAGGATAAATGATGATGATCATCCTTGTGTGTTGCTCTGAAAATATCATATTTTGCAGTGAATCTAAACTAAAAGTATATATTATTTTGAATTAAACTCAAAAGAGACAAGTTCCTTCAAATGTATCCTTAATCGTTTTGACTTTAAATATAAAAAAAAGACGTTAAATTACACACAAATAACAAACAATGCTGGTTTACAAGAAGCCATTCAACTTGTTAATGTCGTGATGAGAAAAAAAATCCAAATGATCTCACCTTATCATAAGAACAATTTTGATAGGAAAAAAAATCAACGAAAGAAGGATTCAATGCCGAGTTATACTTTTAATGGCATCTATTAGGAAGGTGCTATATCGAGATTTGACTGTATAACGATTATTAATATTCAAAATATAAATTAATCCGTAAAACTTACTTCATTATGGTGTAAAGCCATCTTAAATTTTTCGAAATACAGCCATTTTTTCGCTTCCTGTGGATCCAAATCATGATAATAATCTCGTGCAGAATACCCAAATGAATGAAATTTCTTGTCTGGCGTTAATAATAAAGTCGTAGGAGTTTTTTGATTTATAACTCCAGGATCACCTCCTAGTTTAATAATAATAACTTATTAAAATTAATTGAAATCACTGAATTAACGAAGTTCACTGGGATGCTAAATTGATAAATTCTACAAACCTTCCCATTTCTTCATCATGTGAATATTATCAGGATCACGTACAAAGCTAAATGCATAACCGCTGTATGTGGTGCCAAAATCAATGGCCACAACTACGAAATGTCCAGGGTGATGGGAACTGTTGCCCGAATCTACAGAACATGGACTTGTCCTCTGAACGATAGAAGTTTCAGTCTTATCTTCCAATTTATTATTCTTTTCTTTCTTTCCATTTACTTCTACTTGCTTCTTAGGAACTAAATAATAATATTTTAATTAAAATTAATTTTTTTTTAAGAATCAAGTCATTCATCTGACGATCAACTAATGTTTAATGGTTTTATCCACTTCGGACAATAGTATAATAAGATGTAACATCATAGAAATTTTTGTCAACACTCTTTGCTTATAGCCTAATTTACTTTTTTTGTTAATAATCATTGATATTTTTATACATGTTAAGTTTGTAATGGTAGAAAACTTTATAAGACACTACAAAAACTATATTGTGAAAGTTATATTTTCATTCCAAAGAGCCCATTAACCTGAGATCTTCAAAGATGCCCCATTGCACTACATCGCCTGCACCAAGAAGAGTGATAGTAATGGATTTCTGAATAACTGAGGATTATTTAAAATTATATATATATATAATTTTATACAATTTAAAATATAATTAAATAGAAAACAATATTAATCTTTTACGTATGAAAAACTTATTAACTTTCTTGTATTTAAGAATGGTTAACGCACTTTGATTTTTAGGAGTAGGAGCCATTTCTATTCGATTCCTTCCAATAGTGTACTATCCAGTGTTAGATTTGCAAATGATTTGTTCATCCGATTTTTTCGCAGGAATAGGAAAGAAATCGTCGTTCTTGTGCATTGACACAGAAAACCGGCCTTTCCCGCATTAGTGCTAATTCAAGCGGTCAAGCAGTTCTGGCTGGCTGATTTGATGACAGATAATAATACATAAGAGGTTTCGTGTGGCATTTTGAAAGTTTTCTTGCCAAACGATGCGGGTTGAATGTCTCTTTGGTCCGGTCTTTCACTTCTTTATGGAAAAAAGAATTGCATACAATATTCTTCGGTCACTCCAAATGAAAAAAAAAAAGCGATGCATTATGAGATTTAACCATATGACAATTTACATTATTATAATGCACCATAGTTTCTTAGATTCCAAATTAAGAATGGAAGAAATTTAAACAAGAAAGTTTTCTTAGATACAATCAATTATTTTCTTTTCTACTTCCATTATATTCTACTTTACGAAAATATTTACCATTAAAGATAAAATCCTACGTAATTACTTAAATTTTATTTTATTTGTCTTTAGATACATTTTAAATCACGCTTATCCATTTTAATGGGTGAAAGGATGGAGAAAAATGGGTGCAATTTATAATTAACAATAAAAAAAATAGTGTTAGATAATTAACAATGTATATATATATATATATAATTTCTTTCATTAGTAATTACTAAACAAGTAAAAGTAAAAACAATGTTTTAATGGAGGAAAAGTGAATATTAAAAGAAAAACCACAAAAATGGAGTTTCATACTTTCCGAATCTTTCAGAAAAGATTTAAAATATATGCTCTCCACCTTCAAATTAACAGTGTCTTGCCCCTGTACATCATACTTTTCCTGTAGTAATCGAGTCGTGTCCTGTCATCTATCTAACTCCTTTCAGGGGGAAATTTTTGAATTGAAATAACGTGACTTCTGGTCTGTATCAGAAGTTTTCATATAGTTAATCGGAGTCTCCTGCCCATAAGATTTCCAAATATGATCTTGGATTTCATCTAACTCTTTTCTCGAGATTAAGGAACGACTGACAGACAGTAGGAATTTATGGGTCTATGATTTTTTTCAAATTGCAGTCTAATAATGCGTATTGCATGACTTCAATTAATTAAGAGTAAGTTAACTAAAATAATTGAATAACTTTCTCCGAAAAACAACAAGAGGCACGTGACTTAAATCTCCCAAATTTGCCTCGAGCATCATTCATAATCTCAAAATCCTGGCTACTCTACTGGAGTTTTTGTGCATTTTTTAATATTTAGCTTTCTATTGCAAATGAGCCGAGAGGATATTCACACGAACACTGCTACTTAGTCGTGGATTCGAGCCTGACCAACGGGTTGCTCACATGGAATTTTTTGGGTTTAGTTCATCTAAACAGGGGTCAGTTTCTCGTAGTAAATCCTCTCGTGAGACACTCCCTCCTTGTCAGATCGCTCATGAATTACGTTACCTTATTCAATAAAATCCAATCCATTGCAAATACGGTATATATTTTTCTTGTCGTTTTATGCTTACAACTACTGAATTTCCGGGTTTTAATCCTTCCTGTACCTAAGCTAAACTTTTTCTTGTAAGCTATTGTTAGAATCCGGAATTTTAATCCTTAAAATCACGGACTCTAACAGTACCTTATAAGAACCATCGTCGTTACCTAATAGTAAAAAAGTAATAAAATTTCTAATCGTTCTAATATAGTATTTAGAAAGAATAGAATAACCTGCTTAACAGCTTTTCTAAATAACAGATAGTCTCTTAACATACTATACTACTGTATCCTGCTTATTATTAACGTATTCGCTTTATTTTCATATCCTATCTACACTTTTATCTTTTAACCAATTTCTGGCTCTATTTAGTCATAGATTCTTGCACACAAAATAAGTAACTAAACGTATTTCTAGTATGAAGAATCAATAATTATAGTTCATAAATGCCATAAGAAGGGGAAATATTCGAAAATTCTTCATCGAAATTCCTTTATTTCGATTAAAATTACTCTTAGAATACCTTTAAAGAATAATATATAAACGATAACTTACGCAACTCTGCTAACAACATTCTTCTTTACATTACTTATACTGGTTTCTTTCGTAAATGAAAATGGGTTAAAAATATGGATCAAAATACTGGTTTTTCTAATTTAAAAACCTTTGACGTCATTTTCCGGATTAAAGAAATACAGTCGACCCCCATAACACTGTTGATAATTTCGTTTTATATGAATTCCATGTTGTACGAGTCACTTAGATTTTACAAATATATGCGCCGGGCTGTGAATGGCTCACGAATTTGTAAAATCTAAGTGACTCGTACAACATGGAATTCATATAAAACGGAATTATCAACAGTGTTATAGGGGGGGTCGATGTATATTCGAATTGTTTCTTTGAATTTATAAAGTAATTATAAGAATAATATTTCTATAATATTAAGTCTAAGAAATTTTCTATTGTGTATTATTTTGTTGGAATATACAGTGTGACCCTGGGTGTATCTAGGTGACAAGCAGCTAAAGTACCCCAAATATTATACAATATATTAGTATTACTAGTACCCCAGTACTAGTAATACTAATACTAGTATCCTAAAGAAGCCTTCAGTGTTTGTAAAGTAAATGACCGTCAAATCGGGTGTCTTCCAAACAGTCAAACTCGTATTACAGATCTCATTATTGCATATAATTCTTATCGTTTGAGATACTTTGGTTTAACGCCTTTGTCTGTTCAGAAGCGAAACCTGTTTATTTCGATCCCAATCATCTACGACCTTTCTGATTACTGGTTTAAATACATTGATTAATGTAATAAAAATATAATAATAACTTGTTATTCGTGAATAAACAGATTTAATTATTAAAGAAAAAAGTTGTAAGTATTATTAATTACTATTTAGGTTTGTTTATATTTTATTAAATCATTTCTTGAGAGGATGGGATTGAATGAATGGGTTAAAGGCAACACAGGCGATTTATCAAAGAGGAATGCCTCGTAGGAAGACTTCTGTAGTAAAATAGCCCCTGTTTAGGTGTTAGACACGTGAAAACTTCGTGCCAGTGTTTAGTATTACAAAGAACTCTACATTTAAATCACCATTTTCCAATAAAATCCTCCTCTCAAATAAAAGTTCTTCGAAAGCTACCATGAATTACGAATCATAGGAATTAAATGCAATTATCTGGATGAAGAAAATTGGCATTAAATTGTAATTAATCTTGTCGAAAAGCTCGCGTTAGAATCTATTCATTTCTAAACTACGTTATACTTATTCTTCCAACCATTACTATTGAAGAAAAGAAAAAACACACCCGCTATTGTTGGAGGAGATAAAGAATGTATTTAATGCACGATATTATTTTATTTAATGTATAATTTTATAAAATGACAATATTTGCGATAAACTCTTCTCCACTTTAAACGATTTTTTTCTTTAAAATCATTACAAAAAAAACTGCAAAAAATTGAGTTTAAGAGACGTAAAAAGTAATTGAAACTGAGAATTTTTCAGGTTCGGTTCATATTATGCAATTGTCAGTTGGGAAAATGCAACAAGGTAAACCTTTATTCAAAGAAAAAGAATTGAACTTTCTGAATTTCTTCACTAACGAGTGAACATTGTTCGTGTTCTTTATTTTATTTATTTATTATAGTTGTATATTGTGCTTTATAGGTTAGCCACAAGATTATGCAAAGTAAACTATATTTTATAATGATTAATAGATTACAATATTTTAAAGTAATTAGTAGATTTCGGGAAGATTTTTTAAGAAGAAAATTCTAATAAGAAACTTTTCTTTCTTTCTTTTTCAAAAGAGAAGGAATGGAGAAAAAATAAGAAAGAGAAGGAAGAAGGGAAAAATGCTCACTCTTCCTTCTCTACACATTTTCTTCTTTATTTCTCCCTCCTCTCCTCTTCGAGACACTTTATATTTGACTCTTAATAATGATAATATATTAAATCAATAAAGTATTTTAATAATAATAATAATAATAATCTATTGCAAGAAGAGAAGATCATTATCGATTACAATCTATATTTTGGATTCGGATCTCAACTTCTTATTGCATTGTTTTAAGATTTTACCATGTACTCGATTATAATTAATCAATTTGAAAGATAATAGACTAGATTTATATCATAAGAAATAGAATTAATTAAATTATTATGATAAAAATTGATTCTTAAACGATGGTTGGCTCTGGAAGACGAGGATCTTTCCATTTTGTTAATGAGGATTGAAGGACGTGCATTTTCTTAGAATCACCGATTGATCTTACTAAAATGTTAAGACCGTCGCGGTTCAACAGGCGGGATAGAAGCGGGTCACATTCCTTATTCGTGTTTTGTTTACTCCAGTTTGGCTCGGAAGAAACAGGAAATAATCGATGGTCGCTTCAGTGAACATGGACGGCCGCCTACGACATCTTTAAGAAATTTTATTG